TCGTTGCTATGCGTATCGAAGGAACTGTGACGTCATCACTTAACAGCCCCATAGCAGTACTAGTACTGTAGCCTAAAATTGATGTATAAAAACAATATGACGCCATGGAGTACCATACAGTACTTTAGCTGACCAATCCAGTAGACAGTCTACGTCCCTGTAGCCAGTACACAACCCCATAGACAGTCACGACATAGTCATTGTACTACATGATTGTAAAAGCAATTGTGGAAGACGGGACACACTGCTCGTCCTCTACTCAGTGTAGCTCGTAGTCCGAGGAGATCTAGTCACGTGATTGTCACCATGATTGTGTGGAGATCGAGGACTAGTAGATCTACTACAGACAGTACAGTACTAGCGGAGTCATGATTGATTGTAGTTCTAGATCTACTATACCGGACTTGACTATAATGTAATGATGTACTCCCCGATCCTGCACCTGGCGTAGATACATCGATTAGTAATACCAGCGAGTAGTAAAATACACTACTCCCTGGTAACCATGGTAATACACCCTGGTAACCATGGTAATACACCCTGGTAACCATGGTAATACACACAAAAGGCACAATGGAGTTTTACAGATTTGTCGCAACTCGGAGTTTCTTGCTCAATGCAATCATCACTGACATCAGGCGACTAGTAGCAGGGAGTTTACTACTCCCCGCTAGTAGTATTAGTAATCGAGTAGTATCACGCATGGCCCGTAGTCGGTTATGGCCCAGTCTACCGCAGTACCGGCGCTACTAACTTACTTCCGTGCGAGTTCGAAAGAGGGACCGCCCAGGCCTGGGCTTCTGCGACAGTCACAGTACAGTGCCCCGTGCACGGAGTAGTCGTGAACTGAAAGCTTTCACCCCCCTCCCCCCTGGCCTGGTTTCTGCTGCACACTGAGTAGGTCTGTAAACTAGGGGCCAGTAGGGCTCAAACGATTAGTCCGATTAAAACCGATAAAGATAACGGTTACGCAGTAACTTTTCAGTCAATTTTTCAAGTATCAGGTCGTTGCAAAGTGTGCACTTTCGCGGGCTGTCGCACGCGTACGCAATTTCTGGGCTGTCAACTCGGTCATATCTGGTCTCTTGGTGTGAGAGTATGTATGAATGAGCATGCAAGAGAATGTACAAGTGTGCGTTGTACTGAATAGGGTACATTTTTTGAATGAGTATAGTCAAATATTCTGCTGCGATGTTAGGTTGAGTTGGGTAACTCCGCTCTTCTTCCTCGCTCACCGGAGGAATTTCTCTAGTCTCCTCGCGCAACTGGGGAGCACTCCAATGGAGAGAGAAAGATTTTTATAGGGCGGCTTGGTGTGAGAGGTGGACTGAGACTTGACGGCGCTAACGGCGAATATCAAGACCTTACGGCCACGGAGCTGCGGGACTCTGCGCTGGTCGTCTATCCGTGTGGAGGCAAAGCAAACGCGGGCAACATTCTGCTGAAGCGAGCGTGGAGCTGAAGCTGGATTGGTGACTGACGCACCTGCTTACTCCACAACACCGGCGCATAATGATGTGCATGTACAAGACTTCGTGAGTATTCAACTCAAATTCGTGTTCCGTCAGCGTCAGTATCAGCAAGTACAGTCATGTAGTACAATTTGTTCCCAAAATAACTTCGGGACAGTCTGTTCATGGTTTTCATTTGTATTGGACTCGTTCTCTACACTTGCGATAATTTAGCGGCAATTCTAACGTTGTAGCGTTGTTCTCTTGTAATTTAGTGGAACCTGTATTGAGTAACTGAGTTTTATGTTTCGTTACATTGTCGTCAGATCTCCTGTGTACCGGTTTTGTGGCACAATGATTATAGCCATTATATTTGGTCGTCTCCATTCTTGTGCAATCATGCGTACATGTATGTAGGTTGGTTCTCTTCATGTTATTGTGACCAATTTCATAGATGTTGGTTGCCTTGTTGCTTTCTCTCCCCTCTCCTCTCACCCAAGCCATTCTGCATAAGCGAAGCTGTGGACGCAGCATACTGCTGCTACACTTCAACGCGGGAATGCGTATAATAATAATAATAATAGTCAAATATACGGTTAAAAAAGAGTCCGCAGGATTGCCGTGGCTTATAGGTTATAACCGGTTAACCGACCGTTAGCTTAGCAGTTAAAGGGGAAGTTAAGGCAAAAATCAAAATTTCACCAGTTGTAGTCTTCGGAGTGCTGAGTCGAATGGTCGTGGTCCGAGGAAGCTGAAACGCTCCCTTCCTACTTGAATCCCAATCGAACTCGCGCACTTCCACCGAAACTGGGTGACTGCGCCCTACTAGATGGGGATTTGTATGCAAAATGTCACTAAAAGCGCCATTTCGTTCTTATAAAAGCACGGATGACCGCGATTGGCCCATATGCTGTAGTCTTTTGGACGCTGAGTCGACTGGTTTTGGTCCGAAAAGGCTGCGATGCAGCGTTCCTCCTTTATTCCCAATCGAACATGGTTGAACAAGCGGTCACGTGCTCCTGGGTGCCCAAATCACCTGGTCACCACGCCAGCAGGTGACAACTTTCACACCAAGGTTCAACTCGAGTTCAACTCGAGTGACTGGACTGCACCCAAAAAAGGTCAAACAGGCTAGTAAGTTGTACCCTGCAGGCACGGTGACCAGGTGACTGGTGTACGCAGGAGCACGTGACCGCTTGTTCAACCATGTTCGATTGGGAATAAAGGAGGAACGCTGCATCGCAGCCTTTTCGGACCAAAACCAGTCGACTCAGCGTCCAAAAGACTACAACATATGGGCCAATCGCGGTCATCCGTGCTTTTATAAGAACGAAATGGCGCTTTTAGTGACATTTTGCATACAAATCCCCATCTAGTAGGGCGCAGTCACCCAGTTTCGGTGGAAGTGCGCGAGTTCGATTGGGATTCGAGTAGGAAGGGAGAGTCTCAGCTTCCTTGGACCACGACCATTCGACTCTGCACCCCGAAGACTACAACTGGTGAAATTTTAATTTTTGCCTTAACTTCCCCTTTAACCGTCAGGGGTAAAACCGTGACCGTTTGAGCCCTAGTACTAATACTATACTGTAAACACAGTGATCTACTGGCACTGCTCAGCAGCAGCTGTAGTAGTAGTAGTAACTGACTCCGTGATCGTGAGTCCACGCCGCCTCACCAGTACTCAGTAGATCTACTGACGGCAGTGATGAGTAGATCTACGAGTACTGTCTGTCTTCAGCAGTTCTGTCCCTCCAGGAAATCGCGATTCCACGGATGCAACAAATTTCGCGATTTTGGTCCAAACCTGCGATTTTCAGCAAAATCCGCGATTTCCCGCGTTTTTTGTTGTTTTCTGCACTATATCTCACATGTTTCATGCAGTGCTTTCCATGATCCTGTAGGTTATTTGCACAGTATGACTCGTACTACTCCGGAGTAGATACAGTCATGTATACGATGCAACAAATTTCGAGATTTGGCCCAAATCCGCAATTTTCTGTGAATAATTCCGCGAATTCCTGGCAAGTTCTGCATCAATCCGCACTTCTCGTCGCATTTTTTGTTGTTTTCTGCCGCAATTTCTTGCGCAAATTTTCGAGAGTTTTTTCCGCAAATTCCCCCAGGGACAGGCAGTTGCTCAGGCTCGTCAGGGTAACCGCCCGGTTTCACGAGCTGAGCTGCACTCCCGCGGAATTCCGGCGCCGAGAGGCGGGCTCACACTCACAGAGTCACACCCTAACTTACTAATAAGGCCTAACTACACTCTACAGTAACACTGTGGAAGAAGTGTGTTAGTACTGTTACTAACACACTTCTTCCACATGTCTACAGACAGTACAGACAGTACAGACAGTACAGTAGAGGGGACGGCTCGATACTGGGACGCTTTGTATAGACCCAAACGGATCATCAACGTTGATTTTTCACTCGAAATATGTTTGTGGAAGGAAACTGGCATGTTGAAGTTTGCTCTGGGGCCAGAGTCAATCGAACTGAGCCACTCCTTTGTGTTGACCCATTGCCTCCAAGTTGCCCAATTTTTCGCTTCAAAAAAGTTCAAATCAGAGGTGGCTCCAAACCGGACACGTTTTAGAGTGCACGTCAAATTCACTCTGGGTCTGAAATTAGGTAATTGCTATCGCTCCACGACGGCCAGTACAGAGTAACAATAAGCCTTGTGTGTGCTTCCATTAGTTTTGATTGGTATGCGGTGCTGTATTGGCGAGAGGCGAGCCGCTGTTTACCTGCGACAAGAAGTTGATTTTTCGAAAGTCGTAAAACTCAAGTCGCAGTGCGAAGCAACACGTCAAAAACTCACCTGCTTGATATGGCGCTTCTGGTCATCGCAGAGCCATGAAATTTTGGCTCGGAGTATAACACATCGTAGTCTCACTGTGACATATGTTTTCTAGTCAAAATACCAAGAGAGAAAGTGAATATTGAGTCCGTTCCGGTTTGCAACCAATGTCCTATTTGAAACCGTCCCCTCTACAGACGTGTATTCCCCAAGACTCTGGGCAAGAGAAAGTGCAGTTGAAGTCACCATGGTCACACTGCCCGAAAAAATCAGCTGCGCTTCTTCTTGAAGAAGTCAAAGTTTAGTTTCCAGCCTTCCAGGACTGTAGTTCTTCAGCTGCGACTGCTCAGTGCTCATTCTAGCTGCTCGTCGCGGTTCGCTGAAGCGGAACGCGTTAACGGAAGGATGGTGGCCAGTGCCTGCAGTGGTCACATGCACAACAACCATATCCATGATGGATGCGGCCTGTAATCAATGGTAATGAAGCGGTCTAAGTATTTTGCTTCAGCAGCTTGTGTTGTTGAAGCTTCAGCAGTTCCGGCCAGGGCAGGGACCCAATGCCCTAACACTAACCATGCTAACACAGTAACAGTAACAGTCAGTAGTCAGTGACTGTGTCATGCATGCAGTGTCGGACGCGGATGACCGGTAATCACGGTCCAGACCCAGTAGCTGGCAGCGCTAGCGGGTTCGTCGATCGGGTAACCGCGCAGCTGCTTCGTAGATCTACTCGTAGCTCTACCGCTGCGCTCTTGCACAGTCATGCAGCTGAGTAACTTCCCAAGGAAAATTTAGTAATTTGAAGAGCTCGATGGAGCTCTGAACTAGTCCTAGCTCATAGCCATGCTCTCTCCAAAACATACTTGGTTGTATCTCAATAGCGCGTCGGAGGGAGGTTTTCGACGAGCTACGGAATTGTCAATACTCCTGGCTACGAAAGCCTTCGTTCAAGAAGTGGGAATGCAGTATAGCGTCACGCCAGTATAAATGCGGTGTAGTGTATGATTGTCACGCAGCACGTTAGTTTCTTCGGCAAAACAATTTGGACCTGACGACGGTGGAGTTCGGAGGTAAGGGTTTTTCGGAAAGACTGTTTGTTCTTGGCTTGTGAGTTGTGACGGCCCCGCATACCACGATAACTATGTCTGAGGGAATGTCCACATACGCCTGTACAGCTCAGAACCTAATGACTGTGTCGGTGTTGTGCACTACACCCGCACGAGTAGTCATGTGTGCGTGTCTGTACATGACATGTATGCGTGCGTGCCTGCATGTCTGTACATGACATGTATGCGTATGTTCCTGCATGTGTGTGTGTGTGTGTGTGTATGTGGTGTGTGTGCGTGTGTGTGTGTTTATGGTGTGTGCATGCGTGTGTGTGTGTGTGTGTGTGTGGTGGTGGTGTGTGTGTGTGTGTTTCTGGTGTGTACGTGTACGTGTGTGTGTACATGATTGTGTTGGCAGTGGTATTCTCAGCAGAGTGTTGACTGGCAATTCACTACAACAGTGACTGCACTATATGAGCAGTACGGTGCAGCAGTACGGTGCAGCAGTACGGTGCAGCAGCAGTAATGGAATGCAACTCTGCTGTGCCTGTTGGTGGTAGAAATCACCATGGGAACACCACATGTATGCACAGGCTATTGGACAGAGGTCACCGGGCACTTCACTGGCTGTACTTTGGACATGCAGACAGATCACTACTCAGCATGAACAGCAGGAAATCATCAGAACTGGACACCCTACCGTAAGCTATATTGAATCATTCCCCGTGACACTATCCACTTTCAGCTGGGCAGAGATCTCGGATTGTTCTGCCTGTGTGTGTCTGTGTGTCTCCAGTGGTCTCTCTCTCTCTCTCTCTGTGTGTGTGTGTGTGTGTGTGTGTGTGTGTGTGTGTGTGTGTGTGTGTATACATGCCATCGTAGTTTTTGTCGACGGCAGGATGAGAGTCGCCACGAATGTAACGCGATAAGACACTCCCGTCGAGCACCCTGATGGACAGCACAAATCCGAGTCTGCCCCTTTGGGGGTCACATAGCCGGACATGGCAGTGGTACAATGAAGGAAGGAAGGACATGTGTGTGTGTGTGTGTGTATACATGTGTGCGTGTGTGTGTGTGCCAGAGTATCGTTGTGCTTGCGGGAAGACGGGTCGCCGTCCCGGCAATCTCACATCTCAAGCGCCACAAACCTTTTCTGCCGGTTGCCGCCGAATTAGTCCTTTCGCTATCATTGCATATGGCAATGGGCAAGTTCAGGGCTCAAGGTTCAAGGTGTGTGTGTGTGTGTGTGTGTGTGTGTGTGTGTGTGTGTGTGTGTGTGTGTGTGTGTGTGTGTGTGTGTGTGTGTGTGTGTGTGTGTGTGTGTGTGTGTGTGTGTGTGTGTGTGTGTGCATTGCGAAAGGCGGTTCTCAAGGCCACAGGACTTGCAACGCCATGCCCAATTCTGTTGACTTTGCGATTTCTCTCTCTTCTCTTCTCTCTTCTTGTCGTTGTCTCCCACTTCTGGGAGCGGCGTGGCCCGATAGGATAGCTGTACATAGTAGAACTGAAGCAATAGCAGTAGTAGTGTGTGTGTGTGTGTGTGTGTGTGTGTGTGTGTGTGTGTGTGTGTGTGTGTGTGTGTATGTTGCCCGTATGGATGCGGCCCAGATTCCTCAAGAAGTATTGTTTGGGGAGCTCGAGGCAACCAGACCACGGCATGGGCCAAAGAAGCGTTGGCGAGACACGATTGTCGGTGATCTGCGCTCACTGGATATTCCGGAGTCCGAGTGGTATCGGCTCGCACAAGATCGCCCTGAATGGCGCAGGCAGGTCCATCAACATCGTCTTCCTCCCCCCTGCACCGAAAGATTTTCACTGCGCATGCGGCAGAGCGTTTAGTAGAAGTGGCGATTTGAAGCGTCACATCCAGTACTGCCCAACTCAGTAGCCTATCATCTCCACTGGAGATGGGGCGTCAAAGGTGTATGTGTGTGTGTGTGTGTGTGTGTGTGTGTGTGTGTATGTGTGTGGGTACACATGTGTGTATGCTGGATGCAGCTGTAACCCACCACTGTTTGACGCTGTCCTGAAGTCTACTAGCAAGAATGAGGAAGAAGCAGTCCTTCGTCTATCCTCCCTCGTTGATCGTGAACTTGAACTGCGCAATACAGCCAATCCTACACCCTCTGAAGAATGCACCAAGCATGTCATCTACAATGACCTTGGTACATATGTGGGCCGAAGGATGACGTCATTCCACGCTGCT